GTCATTTTGGCTACGACGGTCGCGCTGGCACATGCCTGCCTCGAGAAGCCGCGTTCGCCCGGGCGAGAGGACGGTGCCCAGCGTGGCCGGCAAGCGGTGGCCGTGCGTCTGCCCACCCACACTTGATTGCTCTTGCCAGCGTGCTTGCCCTGCTCAAGGATTACGTCGATGCGCGCGACTCGTTCGTGTACTCCTCGCATCCGGATGTATCCTCCGACTTTGAGGGCCCCGGCCCCCCCGCGCTGCCCTCGTAGGGCCGGTCCCGCTGGACCGACATCGCGCGCTCGTCTCTCGTCTCCTCCTGCAACCCCTCGGGATGGGCATCTGTCGTTCGTCCCCTCGTCCCTCTTCTCCTCCTCGCGCCCTGCGGTGCGTTGGGCATCGGAGACGAGCAGGCCGGGCCAGGCATGGGCGAGGGAGGCGGAGAGAACATGCCACTAGCGCACCTGATCTCGCTGCCCCCCGTGCTCCGCACCGCCTCGCTCCCCGTGATCCTCCCGCCCCCCCCCTCGCCCTCGTCGCCCCGTTCCGTCCCTCCTCCTTCCCGCTCCCGCCCCCCGTCCCGCCCCCCTGTTCGGCAGGTTTGTAAAGGGCGTTCGCGCGAGCCCGAAACACGTGCGAACCAGCGATCGAAACTCGTTCGGTTGGAGCGTGGCCAGCACCCAACTGAGAAGTAAGGTGTGCTAAATACCTTTGCAGGGCGCGTTCGGGCAGCTGGGACGCGCTCCTCTATTGCTCGTTACCTCCCTCCTCCCCATCCTCTCTTCTCCGCCACCCTTCTCCCCTTCCTGCTCCCTCGTCCTCCCCCTTCGTCCTCCACCCAACGAGGAGGAGGAGGAGGGGCAAATGAGGCCGGACAAGCAGGTGAGGAGGAAGGGGAGAGAGGAGGATGGGGATAATGAAGGCCGCCGATGGATCAAGCGGAGGTATCCAGAGATCTCCGGCGAGCTCCCGGGGCCAAAATGGAATTCGAGCATCCCCCTCGATTCGATTCCCCTTACAGTCCTCCTTTCATCCTCCTCGAAGGAGGAGAGCGAGGAGGAGGAGCAGGAGGCGGAGGAGGCGGAGGAGGATGAGGAGGACGAAAGGTGGTGGGTGGAGAGGAAGAGGACGACGACGACGATGACGACGGCTACGACGGCCCCGCGGCCCATGCCTGCCAAGGTCTGCTCGGCCGCTGTGTCGCTGGCGCGCTCGCTGCGCGCGGCGGGCGAGCTCGACGAAGCGGAGGCCCCTTTGGAGGAGGAGGCAGGAGAAGGAGCAACGACAAGGGGGGGTTAGGCTCAGGGCCCCGAATCGTCGTTCGACGTTTGCGTCGGGTCTTGGCGGTTTTCCGTCCTCGGCTTGGCCTCCAGCAGTTGCGTTTCTTCGCCCTCCTCGTCACCTCGCTCGCCTCCCCCCTTCCGCGCCTTCGCCTCCACGGTCCATGGTTTCCCTCGCTTCGCTCTGTCGTCGATCCCCACCGCACCTCTGAGCAGTGGCAGTGGATGCAGTGGATCAACACTTCCACCTCCTCGCCCCTCCTGCCTCCCAAGCGGCGAGGTGCTGTCGCGGTGCGTGCTGGAGGACAGGCGGGCTGGGCCTCAACGAAAGCTGGAGAGATGAAGATCGCAGTCGAGATGCTTGCGTCATTTTGGGGGATTGTTGTTGCCCTCTGGGAGTTTCGGCTGGCGGCCGGATCATCTTCGAAATTCTGGCTACACCGCACACCAGAGTAGGTCCAGGCGCCGATGTTCGAAGGGAAGGTCAGCGGAGAAAGCATGTGGGTACCGATACATGCCCATCGTTGCGCCCTTCTTTGGCTTTCTTTGGAGGTCTTTGTTGGTAGCCACGGCAGCATTCGCCTCGGAGTCTTTGTCATAATGAGGTCGGTGCAGGAGGAGGCAGACAAGGAGGGAAGAGGAGGAGGAGGAGGGCCAGAGTAAATCGAGGATGCATCATGCATCAACGATGCTGTATTGTACTATCCCGCCCCAAGTTCCCTTCCCATAGGTCCCTGCACTGTGGGATGCACCTCCCTGAAAGACCAGCTTCCCACAGGCCTGACACCCAGGCGACAGCCCCGTTTTGAAACAGAACCACCCTCCATCCGGGTAGTCATTGTACAGTGTTACGGGTCGGGCCGACCGTTCAGAGGAGGTCTGAAGCGAGAGCCCCGGGTTGGAAAGGAGCAGCCCTCCACCTTGGCAAGGTTGCACCATGTTTCACATCGGGCCGTTTGAGCAGATCTCGAGGAAGACCACCATTCATCTTTGCAAGCGTAAACCATCGGCCCATGTTGAACAGGAGCCGCTGTCCATCCGTGGAATTGTTGCAATCGTTTCAGACGCATGTGGGCGGCGCCAAGGCGAGAGCCACATTGTGAAAACGTCCCGCCCTCTATCTTGATAATTGCAGGACGCGCTTCAAACGAATGTGCGCGGCGCAGGCGTCAGCCATGTTTCGAGACGCACCCGCCCTCCATCCCTGTGATTGTTGCAAGCTTCTGCTACGAATCCGCACGGGGCCATTCTGAGAGCCACAGTTCGAGCATCACCCGCCGTCCATCCGTGCAATTGTTGGGAGGGCAACGGCAACAGTCAGGAGAGGAAACAACGCACAGACATAGTTCATGGTCGATCCCCATGCAGATGTATATGTATGTATGCATGTGTATACACATGTCTATATAAAGACGTATGGGAAGCGGGGGGGGGAATGCGAAAGCCCAGAAACTATCAGAAAATATACGGGATCCTGGGATGTGTGCCTGTTTATTTGTGTATCCTTGGACCCCTTCATTAGACGAAACTCCCAAACGGCCCTACCTCAACGGTTGGCGGTGCGACGAGGAGGAGCCACTTACATGGAGCAGGGGAGGGAGGCGGAGGTGGACGAGGAGGACAAGGAGATGGACGAGACGGGGGCAGGAGGAGGGCGGGAGGAGAACGAGGAGGAATAGGAGGAGCACAGGACGCATCAGGCAAGGCACTTCATGTCCGCCCGCCCCTCCTCAAAAAAAATCCAAAAAAAAGGAGCAGGAGGAGGGCGGAAGAGAAGCTGGATTCGGAACAGCGGGAGGGGGGGAGAGGGAGGAGGTGGGGCGGGAGGGAAGAGAGGTCCACTGGAAAGGGAGGACGAGAGGGCTTCCCCCCTCCCCCTACCCCCCCCCCTCTGCGCGCCGGCAATTAGGGATGTACAGTCGGGGCCCTGAAGAAGGAACCCTTTTCGTTGGGGAGGGGCTCCGCGTTCCGTAAGTGTTTCACAGCTTGCCTCAGGTTTTCCTCATGGCTTCGATAGGAAATCGAAGTTTAATTTATGGAGAAAAGGGGCCTCGCTCCTTATTTAGGGTTCCTTAGGTCAACGCCCCGACTGTATTGCTTGTCAGTTGGTGCCTCGCTGTGCGGCGCCGCCCCCGGGCTCTTCCGCCGAGCGCCCAGGCGCGCCACGCTGGGGCCGCAGAGCCGCCTCACGCTGCAGGCCGAGGCCGAGCTCGCCGCGGCGCTGCAGGCGCCCCCGCCGCGTTGCTCCCGCCGCTCTTCTCCCCCGGGAGGAGGAGGAGGAGGAGGAGGAGGAGGAGGAGGAGGAGGAGGAGAAGGGAGGAGGAGGAGGAGGAGGAGAGGAGGAGGAGGAGGGGAGTAGGAGGAGGATGGAGGAGGGGGAGGAGGGAGGAGGAGGGGAGGGGGAGGAGAGGAGGAGGAGGAGGGGAGGAGGAGGGGGGGGGAGGAGGGAGGAGGTGGGGAGGGAGGACCCAGTGGAAACCCAAGAGTCATCAACGATGTTGGAATGAACGCTCCATCCAAGCTCCCTCTTCATAGGCCCCTACAACGATTCATTTCCATTGAGGGAAGTGCCTCCTTGGAAGACAATGGTTTGAAGATCCTGAAGCGTGCCGAAACATTGTTCTCGGGATTTCAGCGCCACGTATCAACCTGACTGCTGCGTCTTTACGATCCAGAACCGTGCCACAACGCCGTTATTGGGACTTCAACACAGCGAATTAACATAACTGTTGGGCCCACATAATCCTGAACCCTTCCAAAACACCATGTATGGTACGTTGGTCATGGGAACCCGTGAAACTCTTACACATCTTCAAAGCGAATGTGCGCGGCGCTAAGGCGAGAGCCACATGTTGATAAGGAACCGCTCTCAATCCATGAAACTCTTGCACATCTTTCAACCAGATGTGCGCGACGCTAAAACGAGATCTACATTCTGAGAGCCAACCGCCCTCAACCCGTGAAACTCATGCATGTTTAAAACGAATGTGCGCGGCGCTAGGGCGAGAGCCACATGTTGAAAAGGAACCGCCCTCAATCCGTGCAACTCTTGCAATTTGTTTAAACGAATGTGCGCGGCGCTAAGAAGGCGAGAGCCACATGTTGAAAAGCACCCGCCCTGAATCCGTGAAACTCTTGCAAATGTTTGAAACGAATGTGCGCGGCGTTGAGGCGAAAGCCACATTTTGAAAACGACCCGCCCCCAGTCCAGAACAACTGTTGCAAATATTGACAACGAATGCGCGCGACGCTAAGGCGAGAGCCACATTTTGAAAACGACCCGCCCTCCATCTATGAAAGTGTTGCCATTTTTCAGCTTCAGAGTCATAAATGGTTATGACGTCTCAGGCGAAACGCCCGGCCCGCCCTGAAAATTGGCCTCGGGGTGCGACAGGGAGGAGTTATCTATAAGGGGAAGGAACAAAGGAGGAGGAGGAGGAGGAGGAGAAGGAGGAGGAGGAGGCGGGAGGGGGGGGGAGGAGGGAGGAGGAGGAGGAGGAGGAGGAGGAGGGGGAGCGAGGGGGGAGGAGGAGAAGAAGGTGGTGGAGGAGCTGATGGAGGAGGAGGAGATCTTCTCGGGGGCCACTCGACATTGGCATGCGAGGGTCAGGGCTCGAGCCGAACGGTGTGTTCTGGCGATGTCGTGGGCCGTCTTCGTTTTCTGAGTCTGCTCTGCGGCAGAGGCAAAGAAAAGACAGAACGAATGCAAACGAAATCGAGACGAAGACGAACAACCATGTTTAGCTCGAGCCCTGGCGAGTGCATCAGGAGGGGCAGAAAGACACAGGCACGAAGAAACGTCGATTCCCAGGAAGATTCAGGGAAATATGGGAAGTTCCGGGAAAAACGAGAATGCAGCAGATACGGAAAATTGTGGGGCATCCTCGGAGTTGTGTTTATCTATTTGTGTCCCTGGGCCCCTTCAGTGTACTGGTGCGGTCCCCGGTCGTTTTCGCTAATCGACATGTGTTTTACCTTGTGTGTTCGCTTGCTTTTGGACGTCGATTCATTATCCCGTCCAGATCAACTCGGAATGCTGTGCCGTGCGCACGTGGAGAGCCCAGGACGTTTTCTTCAAAGGATGTTTTGACACAAATTGGGTATCTCAGCAAGACTCGACGTTGCTGCCGATCATCCGCCGCTCCCTCCCCTGCGTGCAACTCTCTCCCTCTCATTCTCGCTTGCCTCCCTCCACCCTCCCCTCGTTCCCTCAGGTTCCGGGCTTTGCAATTCTTTCACACCGGGCGGTTCGGCCGTTTTAGGGCCCTGGGACAATCACAGATCGATCTGGTTCGAAAAATGACTCAGGAGTATGGTGCCTTAGGCTCCAGTTGCGATGTTTGGCTATGTTGCTTTCTTCACAAGGTCAGACGTCAGGGTCTCCCGCTTGCCTCCCTCCTCCCCTCCCTCCTTGGTATCCTCCTTGCTCCTGCTTCTCCTCCGCTTCCTGCTCCTCCTGTTCCTGCCCGCCCTCGTCGTCTGTCTCATCGCTCTGCTGCTGATCCTAATTCACCTCTTCCCATTTCCACCTCTCCCACCTCCCCTCACCTCTCCCCGTACCTCGGGGATGAGAACAAGGCCTAGCTTTCGAGGGTCACCCTCATCGACCTCGTGCCTGGCCTCTCCAACCCGGAGCGTTCTCCGTTTGGGGCATCTCTCTCCACCGGGCTTGGGGCTTTCGCGGAAGGAGCCCATGCCCTCGACCAGCGCTTCCCCCCACCCGACAGGCTTCCAGGCTTGGGCTTGGGGGAGCCCCCGCCCCGCACACCGCACACCGTGCACACCCCGGCCGCCGGGCCCGCGGCGCGCTGGTGCGCCCTGGGCATCCCGCCTCGCGCCTTCGACGGACGACGGCATTGGCCTCGAGTTGGGCGTGTCCCTCCACAGGAGGAATGGTTCAAGACTACAGTCGGGTTACATTAGTAGGTCGGCCCTGCGAAATCAAGGGTGCTCTTGTGTCCTGTGCATCGCGCGTCGTGTCCTCTGCGGATTCGGCAGGGTACCCTTGTGTCCTGTGGTTTTGGAGGCCATGTTGCCGTCGGAAGAGTCTTGTGTCCTGTCGCGCGTCCTGTGCGCAATAACCCGCCTGTAGTTCAGAAACAGTTTGGGGACGACCTTTTCGACTAGTTGTGACCACTTCCGAATCTTTGCTTGACTTCTGCATATTGCTCCTCCAAAAAATCCCCCTGTAGGAGGACATGCCCGACCTAACATTGGCACAGCGCGGCCGCGAGGCCCCCAGGGGAGGATGATCCCGCCTCGCCTTCCCGGGCGGGGATCGCCCGAGGCAGCACCAGAGTGAGGGGGCGGAACTGTCCTACAGTCGGACCGGGGTACAAGATCGAGATCGGTTCGGGGAGGGTACCCCTAGCGTTCTCCGTGTTTGTCGGATGTTATTTTTGCGTCCTGGGGAGGTGCAACCTTGGATGTTCTGTGTGCTTTTTTGGCCGGCGCAGGGTCTCATGTTCTTGCAGGGTGTTCTTTTGGCCTGGGTCCGGCTGTATTCCATTCCTGGGTGCATGGGTGAAGTGGCATTCCATGCCAGATTTTGATTGTGATGTTTGGTGCCCTTTTTTTCCTGAAGAATGATTTTGTTTGATCCCCCTCTCCGGTGCCCCTGGTTTTTTATGTTCAGTTGTGGTGCGCCGTAGTGCCTCTTCCTTGGCTCGCACCGTGTTTTCTACGAGGGGAGGTCTTGCGCCTCAGACTTTGTTGTTGGCCCCCAGTTTACCACAACAACGGCTCCCGCCTGAGTTTTTTCTTCGGAATGTAATGAGGAATCGGTTTTCGCTGGAGACTCCCTTTCAATTCTTCCAGGATTTGGGCTTTCAGTTGAGATTTGTATATTTAGGGTGAATTGCATAATCGCTTTTTCGGCGCTCCGGAATCGTGCTCTCATTCTGGACCTCATCATCTATTCAGGAACCGCGTTCTCGCCTGATATTTCCTTGCAATCTCATTTGGCTGAACCCTCGTGCTAGTTAGTCACTATCGTCCTCCATCTCCATCGCCCCCTCTTGCCCCAGTACCTCCACCCTCCCTTCCTCCACTCGCTTCCTCCTCACTGTTCCCTTTCCATTGTTTTAATATTTCCTGTTGTAAGAGGTGCGCCAATAACACGTGGCAGGAAAGCAAGGTATACACTTCCTCGCAATGTGTTGAGACGCCGCGCCTTCGACACTCAGGAGGGATTGCGCTCTCGCTGTGGACCTCGCGATTTCCTTGGGAATCGCGCTCTCGCTCGAGCATTCCTCTCGATTCATGTTGACTTGACGCTTGAGCGGCCCGCCCGCTTGACCCGGCCGTTCGGGCCCGCCTGCCGATCCGCCCGTTAGGGTCTGCCCGCCCGACCCGCCCGTCTGGTTCTGCCGCTTGCGTTTCTGCTCCCAACCCCTTCTTGCGAATCTCTATCGTGCTCCATCGTTCTCCCATACCCTTGTCTCTTCCCTCCTCTGTCCCTTCCCTGTTTCAGTGGGTGCGCCGACTACACGTGGCAGGTAAGGAAGATAGACCCAAAAAGGGGGTAGGACCGAAGACAAAGAGGGCGGGTATCGAGGGTTTGGGATACACATGTTAGATGGCACGCGAGCATAGGAAAGCGAGCAGTCTTAAGGCCACGGTTGAATGTTCGTGTCTACAGAATCATCAAGGCTGATCCCCCGCTCCAGTTGGCCCGGTATTTTCCAGTCAACGTGCTTCTCCAGGGGCTCGCACCATGCTTTTTTTCAGATTTCCCTGCGAATTACTTATCACCGCCCACCAAACCACCCCAACCCAACCCGAAGGCCCCAATTTGCCCTCCATTTCCAGTGGGGGGGGGTCGGGGAACGTTGAGAAAACACGCATGAAACTCGTACCCCCCCCCCAACCCGAAATTCGGGTCTTCGGGTTGGGTTGGGGTGGTTTGGTAGATAGTCAACTTAGGGGTCGCGTTATCGCTCCGAACTTCCTTCATGATGGACTGATGCTTCAGCGACCCGCCCGCTCGACCTGGCCGTCCGGGCCCCCCCCGCCCCACTCGCCCGTTGGGGCCCGCCCGTCTGGTTCTGCCGCCTGCACCGTTCCTCACCCATGTCCTGCAGATCTCTCGCGTGCTCCACCCTTCTCCCTCCCCCTTTTGACTCTTCCCTCCCTCCCTTCCCTCCCCCTCCCCCTTTTGACTCTTCCCTCTCCCTCCCTCCCTTCCCTCCACCCTTCTCCCTTCCCTCCCTCCCTTCCCTCCCTCCCTCTCCCTTCCCTCTCCCTCCCTCCCTTCCCTCCACCCTTCTCCCTCCCCCTTTTGACTCTTCCCTGCCTCCCTTCCCTCCCGTGTCTCACGGGCTGCGCCACTGAAACGCAGCAGCTCGAAAAAAGATGCATCCCCCCCGGGGGGGGTACGATGGAAGACGAAGAGGGCGGGCATCGAGGGTCTGGGATGTACGTGTGGAACGGCACGTCAGCAGACGAAAGCGAACAGCCTTAGATTTATGTGTGTCCCCTCCGCGACCTCCCCGCGACCCACCACCACCCACCCCGCGACCCACCCCACGACCCATCTTGCGGCGGGCTCGTTGTGTAATGTGTACATAATGGGCGCCTGCGGCGGGCTTCTTCAGAGCCTCGAAGACTGCCGACGACCCCGCCGACCCCTGACTCTGACCCGCTCGTGCTGCAGGGAGGAAAAACACCCAGACCCCGATAGTTGCTGTTTGCTGAACGGCCCTGAGCGTTTACTAAACCATTCCTGCCCTGTTCGATTCCCTCCTTGGGTGCGTTCACTGACTGGCTTCGCTTGTCGGGGTGCTTGTTATGAGGGTGGACATTCTGCTCTCCATGTGCGTGGTCTGTGCTATTTCTGGCCATGCTTCGACTGGCTCCCACAGCGACGCGTCGTTCGCATGCGTTTGCCAGCGATGCAGCTGCAACCCCTCAGGTTAGCGGCGTGCAAAGCCAGGCAAAAAGTGTGAGCCCCTCGCGGAGCCGCACAAGAGTGCGACTTGGGGGGGGGTATGGGCAAGGGCCTCCCTCCCACCAGGGATGGGGTCACAGTCGACCCCTCCACTTTTTGGCCCATCCAACTGGGCCTTTGACCGTGGGTGCCAAACACACACACCGTCTTGGGGCCCTGGCCGCGGATCCCGAGGACCTGCGCCAGGAGGACGAGGCCGCTGCGCTGTACGAGAGCGCCGCCAGCGGGCTCCGGGCCCTCTTCGGCGATTTGCACCCGGACGCGCGGCGCTCGGGAGCGGATCGGGCGTCGGGTCGTCCTCGTCGTCGTCGTCGTCCTCGTCGTTGTCGTCGTCGTCCTCGTCGTCGTCGTCGTCGTCCTCGTCGTCGTCGTCGTCATCGTCGTGGTGGTCGTTGTCGTCGTCGCACCCCCATTACTAAAGGTCCCTTCGATGAGGTCGGAGTGGATGGGGTCGGAGGATCGAGCCGCATCGCCGATGCATCGGCGATGCATCGGCGATGCGGCTGGATGTGGCGCTCGATCTTCTCTGCGAAGACGGCCCAGATACATCGCCGACGTCGCCGGTGCATCGCTGGTGCATCGCCGATGCATTGCCGATGCAGGGCGACCCTCCGACCCCATCTACTCCGACCCCATCTATGATGCCTCCTAGTAATGGGGGTGCGACGACGACGACCACCACCGCCACGACGACGACGAGGATCACGACGACAGCGAGGAGGAGGAGGACGACGACGACGACGAGTCAAACGGAACAGCGTCTCCCACACGCCGACGCGCCCAGCCCAGGGGCGGATCGTGCGTCGAGTCATGGGGCGCGGCGGTCGGGCGTGGATTAATGGGGGTGCGATCAGTGGCCAGGTTTTTTGCCGTTTTCGGCTGGCCTCCAGAGCGTCGAAACACGATTCTGGATGAGAAACGGGTCCTGGGGAATAGGTCGAGACCTTTTGTGGGGTCGACGTGGGAATGGGGGGGGGTGCAGAAACGTGCACCTTCCGTACCCCTTTCGGGCCCATGGGGGCCCTTGCAAAGTGCCCCACCGAGGGCACAGAAGGTGCGCCTGTCTCCACCCCCCAATGTATCGCACCTCCATTATCGGGTCGGGCGAAAGGGGGGGATTGGGAAAGGGGGGGTTACGAAATTTGCTGCATGCAGCTGGTTTCGGCCTCAGAGGGGCCATCCCTGCTACTAGCCGCCTCCGGCGCCGGGAGGCGCCGGGAAAATCAGCTACGTGAGCTGATTCCAACCCCCCCCCCTTTGCTATCCCCCCCTTTCGCCCGACCCGACATTAGTCGACTCCCGAGGGGGAGGAGGAGGGAGGCCGAGGTCGGACAGGGCAGGGAGAAGTCGCTCCGGAGCGCTGCGGAGCGCTCCTCGGAGCTTTTTCTGGAGCGCCCTGGGTGGGGCTGTGGCGCCCGATGCAGCCTCCAGACTTCCCCCGGCTCTCGGAGGTCTCCGATGTGTTCTCGCTTGGATTTGTCCTCGCCCTCCCTTCGTCTTAGGAGGAAGAGGAGGAGTTGGAGGAGGAGGAGGAGGAGGAGGAGGATCAGAACGGTTAGGCAAAGGAGAAGGGTTAGAGGCAGAGGAGGACAAGGAGGAGCAGGGAGGAGGGACGGACGGGCCGCAGGAGATGAGGTGGGAGGAAGGGGGGCTTCAGCAGCAGGGTCAGCCGTGGTCTCCTAGGCCTCCTAGATGGGGTCCGGGTAGATGGGGTCGGAGGATCGCGCCACATCGCGGGTCCGATTTTGTCCATGCCGTCGTCGCCGATGCACCGCCGACGTCGCCGATGCATCACCGATGCATCGTCGATGCATCGCCGATGTATCGGCGATGCGGCGCGATCCTCCAACCCTTCGACTTGGACACCATCTAGGAGGCCTCTAGGCCTGCTTCTCGTGCTGCTTGGATTCGAACTCGCCGCTGTGCTGGGGCCAGCAGGCTCAGTCAGGGTCAGGAGCAGCAGGACGACGAGGAGCAGGAGGAAGAGAGTACGTTGGAGCTTGACGAGGAGGAGGATCATCCCGAGAAGGACGACGTGGAGGAATAGCAGGGGGAGGAGGAGGAGGAGGAGGAGGAGGAGGAGGAGGAGGAGGAGGAGGATGAGGAGGAGGGCGGAAAGGGGAGGAAGAGAAGGCGAAGGGAGGAGAAGGAGGGGCAGGCAGAGTAGGCGGCGGCAGGAGGAGGAGGAGGGACGAGGAGGGAGGAGAAGAGAGGGGAGCGATGGGAGGTGGATGGGGAAGGAGGGTGATAAGGGCGGATCGAGTAGGATGGATGGGATGAGATGAGGATGAGGATGAGGGATGAGGATTGAGGATGCGGATGATGCAGAGGATGAGGATGAGGATGAGGCTGATGATGATTATGATGATGATGATGATGATGATGATGTTGATACTAGATGATGTGAGATGGTGATGAGATGATGATGATGATGGTGATGATGATGATGATGCTGAGGATGATGCTGAGGATGAGGATGAGGATGAGGAGGAGGAGGAGGAGGAGGAGGAGAAAGGACGGAGGAGGAGGAGGAGGAGGACCAGTGCAAACCTAAGAGTCACCATTGATGTTTGAATAAACCCTCCCCCCAAGCTCCCTCTTCATAGGCCCCTACAACGGTTCATTTCCACAGAAGGACCTGCCTCGTAAGCATGCCAAAACATTATTCTCGTTATTCCAACGCCACGGATGACCCTGACTGTTGCGTCTTGACGATCCTGAATCGTGCCAGAACACCATTCTTGGGACCTCAACTCCGCGAATCATCGTAACTGATGCGCCCTGAAATCGTATATCCTGCCCAAACACCATGTCTGGCACGTCGATAATGGAATACCGTGAAACTTTTGCAATTGTTTAACAAGAGTGCGCGCGGCGCTAAGGCGAGAGCCACATTTTGAAAAGGAACTGCCCTCAATCCGACAAAAACTCTTGCAGATTTTAAAACGAAAGTGCGCGGCGTTATGGCGAGAGCCACATTTGGAAGACGGCCCGACCTAAACCCGTGAAACTTTTGCAAATGTTTACAACGAATGTGCGCGGCGCTAAGGCGAGAGCCACATATTGAAAACAACCCGCCCTCAATATGTGAAGCTCTTGCAGTTTTCAAAACGAATGTTCGCGGCGCGAAGGCCAGAGCCACAATTAGAAATCAACCCGCCCTCAATCCGTGAAGCTCTTGCAAACTTCTAAAACGAAGGTGCGCGGCGTTCAGGCGAGAGCCGCATTTTGAAAACGGCCCGCCTTCAATCCGTGAAACTCTTGCAATTGTTTAAAACGAATGTGCGCGGCGCTGTGGCGAGAGCCACATTTTGAAAACGGCCCGCCCTCCATTTGTGAAACCGGTGCCGATGTCTATGTTTCAGGGTGATCAACGGTCAGGAAGTCTCGGGCAAAACGCCCGGCCCGCCTTACAATTTGGCCTTGGGGTGCGACAGGGAGAAGTTATTTATTCAATCGCTTCGCTCATTCCGCCGGCCCTCGAGCGCTCTATGGGGCGGCTTTTTTTTTATTTTTTTTTCTTTTCTAAGTTTCTTTTTTTTTTTTATTTTTCTTTTTTCTATTTTTTTTTTTTATCTTTTTATTTCTTTCTTTTTTTTTTTTTTTTCTTTTTTTTCTTTATTTTATTTTTTTTTTTTTTCTTTTTTACTTTTTCTTTGAACTCTTTTTTTTTTTATTTTTGTTTTTTTTTTCTTTTTTTTTTTTTGTCTTGAAAGACTCTTGGGGCCTCCTAGGGGCCTCTTGGGGGCCTCTTGGGGGTCTCTTGGGGGTCTCTTGGGGCTCCTTGGCGGCGTCTTGGGCCCCCCTTGGGCCTCTTGGGTGGCTCTTGGGGGCCTCTTGGGGCGGGGTAGTCGAGTGCACCCCCCTCGGAGGCCACGATCATCGTGAGGGGTGTCGAAAAAAGGCCCTCAAAACCATCTCTGATCCGACCCTGCCGGGGATCGCGGGGTTACTTTTCGCCGGGGGACCCAGGGGCCGCCCCCGCGCGCGCGAAACTAGATAGTTTTAATTTAGCAGTTACGGAGATATTAGCACACTCTGGCCGTTGGGGCCGGCGAATAAGGAGATGGTATGGAGGGAGGAGGAGGGTGACGCGGAGGCGGAGGGAGGCAGTATGACAGGCTGGGAGACGGATTGACGAGGAGGAACGCAGGAGGAGGCGGAGGAGCAGGGCGATGTGCGGGTGTGAAGACGAGGAGGAGGTGGACCACGAGACGGAGCAGCAGGGGACGAGGAGCAGAGTCAGGAGAGTACGTTGGGTTGGGCCGAGGGCATGATCATGTCGAGAAGGACTTACGTGGATTGGAATCGCCGGAGGCGGAGGGGAGGAGGAGGCGGAGAGGAGGAGGAGGAGGAGGAGGGGGAGAAGGCGGAGAAGGAGGAGGAGGAGGAGGAGGAGGAGGAGGAGGAGGAGCAGGGCGAGGTGCGGCATCGGGACCAGCACGCATCCTTAAAATGGGTTTCTGTCGTCTTGGCTGCAAACGCGCGGAGGCGCGGGGCGCGCCTGGAAGGTCTGGTTGGCGAGATCGGGCCGCGCGCAGCGGGGTCCCTCTCCCTCCCGCGCATGGTCCCCGCTCCAGCCCTACCTACCCTCCTCCCTCTCCTGCTCCTGCTGCTCCTTGGCTAAATCTGCCAGGAGCTGGGCCAGAGGGATGAAGGGGCGAAGCTGCACCCTGGGCTTCTTGGGGTGTCTTCCTTGACAAGTCTCATTCCATGCATACTTGGATCCACGCTTCTGGGCGTCCGAAAAACGCTTGGAACAAAACGTGCACTACTTACGTTGATTCGAGACCGCATAAGCTCCACAAGTCTGACAAGCAACGATGAAGCTCTCGCCTGTCTCAGAATTGGCCACCACCAGCGTGTGGCCGTGACTGTCAGCAGCGAGGGCTTTAAGAGGGGAATCGCCAGTGCACTTCTCGTTGAGCCTGGCTTCTTTCCTCGCCTCAGAAAGCACCCCCGTCTTGCACAGCTTACAAACCCATCCCTCCAGGCTCCAAGTGCAATGATGCACCAAACGACCCCCTGAGACCACAAGGGGCCGGGGAGGAGGGGGCACAAGGTTGGAGCCAGGGGCGGCCGCAGCCCCGACGGGGAGATTGTTCGACTTGCTCGGTTTGGCCAAGGCTTTGCCCCCAGGCTTGTATGCAACAGGAGGCCACTTCGGCAAGACCTTGCAAGCATGGTGTAGAAATCGCCGCAACAATTGGACACGCGATTATGTTTTGTTGACTGTCGGAAGGGGAGGGCTGCAACAGCTCGTTGGCC